CGTTAAATAAATAAAGTAAATAAATATAAACCGATAAATAAATAAAGAGAAACTTCTATTTCATTATGCTCAATGACCTCAATAGTGCCTCCCAGATAGGTCTTAAGATGAACTAGGACAAACGAAAATCATGTTTATTGTCCATGTCACACCTATGCCGATAGTTGTTGGGAGCACTAAGCTCGAAGTTGTTGACGAATATGTTTATCTGGGACAAATAGTCCGACTAGGTAAGTCCAACTTCGACCGAGAGGTCAATCGACGGATTCAACTCGACTGGGCAGCGTTCGGGAGAGTACGACACATCTTCTCGTGAGGCATACTTCAAAGCCTCAAAACTGGATTGTACAACCAGTGCGTTGCCAGTGATGACCTATGGTTCTGAGACGTGGCCCTTCACTGCTGGCTGTATGAGGAACTTAAAGTCGCTCAGCGAGTTATGGAAAGGGTTATACTCGGCGTTTCTCTGTGTGATAGAATTAAAAACGAGGATATCCGCAGTAGAAACAGAGTAACCGACCGATTAGTAAGCTGAAGTGGCTGCAAATTCACTTACTTGTGGAATGTTATTTTACTTTCCTTTTGGTAACGAGTTTTACATATTACGCACACTCTCATTATTACTAAAAATAATTCTTATTATGTAACTAAAATCAAACAATCAAACCACATTTTCATTTTTTAGTTTAAAAATTCAAAATACAGAGATATGATTTAAAATAATACAACAGACTTTGGCATATTATGTCAATTTTAGTTCCCGGTACGGACAATGAGGGCGCTTCAAATCGGCATAATCATTTTGTATGGCATAGCCAGTCCAGCGTACTTGTATATATAGAGGTCAGTGATTGTAACAGAGAAAATGTGATAGAAAAATGTATAATTGGACTACAGCACTGATTAAATTAAATTAAAAAAATTAAAAATCATTTATTTCGGAACTAGTCCATATCACATTTCATAAATACACATCGACATTAAAATATTAAATCTAAGTTTTATATGAATTACATTAAAAAAATATTTCATTAAAATTAAATTATTATTACAATTACTTAAATTAATATGAAATACACAAACACAACAAAACACATACACAGCTCTAACGTAATCTAAATTTAGGTTTAGTTCCGGAGTGCTCTACATGCAGCCTGGTCCAGTGTCGCATTATAGGGCAATACGGATCCAACCGCCAGGCGAACAGTTGCATGTAGCCATTTGAGCTGTCCCGTATGCGGCGCATCAGGGACGCGACTCGCTTCCGAATGATCGTTGCGAATCCGTCTATATTTCGTGGCTGCTTCATTAGTGCTCTGAAGGCGTTATTGTATAGAATGAGTAGGGCGTCGCAAGATTTTTTTGTGTACTTGACCCATAGGCTGCATGTGTAAAATGATCGGCAGAATGCTCTGAATAAGGTAGCCTTTACTTCTGCCGTACAGTGCGCAAACCTACGTGCCAACATATTGGCCCGAACAGACAACGCCCTACGCTCCCTATCTGTATCAATATAGTATGGGTTACTAAGGACTCACACAGAATACCAGCGTGAAATAGCAGCTAATGCTGTTGCATTTCATATGGTGAGGGACCCTTTTTCCGTTAACGAGGCTATCTTCAAAGGTTAAGTTCTTCCGATAACAACGCATCTACATTTTGATTGTTAATTAAGCACAGATGTACTCGTTTGTCATTGTTACTTCCATTTAATAAACGGAGTCGTGATACGGACTGGAAGTGGATGGATGTCGTAACACGGCCGCATACATTTGTCATTGCTGTTTTATGAAACTTCGGCGATACGGTTGGAAGACTAACCCATTATTTCGAATTTCTCATTACTTTGTTTAATGTATGTTTTATAAGCAAAACTGAGAAACTTATCTTCTTTACAGGCTTAGTAGCCCAGTGGCAACGATTGGCTGTAGTCCTGTAGGCCGCAGTTTCGAATCCTATAGGGAACATGGATGTGCTTCCATTTGCAATTCACGTGTGTAACAAATATGGATAGGCACAGTGCGAGGGTCCAACCTCTTTTTAATTAATTTTTATCGTTACCTTAATTCAATTTTACAATAAAATATTTTTTTTTTATATAAATATAAATTTTATATAAATTTTAATGAGTAACTTGTTTAGTGAGTAATTGGTAACACCAAATGCGAAGGAATTGGGTTCGTACACACAAATTCTTAATATTCAGGATTACACACTATTCAAACAAGTTCATAGCATAACGGTCAATGTAGGTACTCATACCATCCTAGTAATCCAGGGGCCTACTTAAAATTTATATAAACTTGTACATTTTATAGTATTGTATGTGTAGGGCACACGAGTAAAGATCCTTACCTCCTTACTCTGTGCTACGGGTATCGGAAACCGGTTTTAATTAAGGAAGCCTACAGAGGCATTGTCAACTTCGAGGACTAAAACACAATGTTTTACAGCCTCTACTATTGCTTTTCGGTTTCGGTATGTTTGTGATGATGGTCAGGTTTTTACAGCTTCATTGGACTTAACAGACTATAATTGCTTGCACTGTTCGAAACGGTAGAAAAGGTAAGAGGCTAATACTTACTTAAATGGCTTCCGTGAATGAAAATCCTGGTCACCACCAATAACAAACGAATTAGCAAGTTGTATGAATAACGTCATGATAATAAAGGGACCATAAAATGTGTTAAAAAGTATTTTAAAAGATCAGGATTACCAAAAATGATAGGAAGCAACCGTAGAAAGTAAATAAATATAAACCGATAAATAAAGAGAAACTTCTATTTCATTATGCTTTCAGTGTAATAAAATAAAATTTCGCGGTAATAATTTTTATTTATAATGCTTATTATTCTCGTATAAGAAAAAAATTTAATTTCTAGAATAGGCATTCGTGAAGTTTGTGAAAACTTATGTTTAATGCAAATAAATAAAATCGAAGTGTCTGTTTGTAATGTCAAAATTACAGCGTTTTACTAAATGCACATGAAAGTATAAATGGTACTTATAACAAAAATCTGTCTGGTGCCTGTTTGTTCCGGCTAATCTCCGAAACGGCTGGACCGATTTGGACGGGACTTTCACTGGCAGATAGCTGATGTCATAAGAAGTAACTTATGCTATTTTTTTTTGGAAAAAGGGTTCCTCGCGAAAAAATTAAAACCCTAAATTAGACACAGGGCAAAGTTGCGGGGAACAGCTAGTAATAAATATAAATTAAATAAAATACCGAGCTCAAAGTGCCTATTTATGACCATATACACAACAATAAAGACAAAACACGGTGTTCAATAAAAAGTAATAGTGAATATGTTACATCTTACTATTATTAAATGTTATTTGTCACCCTTATACAATAAATAAATTTGCTTAGTCATCTTCAAATCTTTTTCAACTCAGTTACTCCTTTAATCTCGGAAATAAATAGAAACCGCTAAATGCAAGGTTTGGTGAATATGGAATAATCAAGTATTTCAGACCCATCGGCTAGAATTGTTACCACCGCAACGGCGGATTTGTGAGCCGGGACGTCATCTTGTTGGATTTTATTGCGTAATTTTTAAGTTCCCGCTTTGTAATAAAATTAATAATTATCAAAAGTAGGAAGTTATACATTTCGGTCCAAATTTGAGAATACGAGTTTTCATCAGCTCTCCTCGTTTTGAGGTCCTAGGAAGCCGTTCCGACTACGCGCGCGCGCGCGCGAGTGTGTTCGTGTGTGTGTGTGTGTGTGTGTGTGTGTGTGTGTGTGTGTGTGTGTGTGTGTGTGTGTGTGTGTGTGTGTGTGTGTGTGTGTGTGTGTGTGTGTGTGTGTGTGTGTGTGTGTGTGTGTGTGTGTGTGTGTGTTGGTGTTTGTGTGTGTGCGTGCGTGTGTGTGTGTGTGTGTGTGTGTGTGTGTGTGTGTGTGTGTGTGTGTGTGTGCGCGTGTGTGTGTGTGCGTGCGCGTGTGTATGTGTGTGTGTGTGTGTGAGTGTGTGTGAGCGTGCGTGCGTGCGTGCATGTGTGTGTGTTTGCAAAAAACAAAAATTAAATAGATTTTCAAGCGTTGCGCTCGAAAGCGGGATATTCCAGGGATGGCCTGCAGGGTCAACCGTATTTTTTATTGTTCTGCATACAAAGTGCCCGTAATAGTAGCTTCATGATGGAGATATTTAGTAATTACCTTTTGACTTAATTGAAAGAAAGCTCATGATGTTACTGGCGGTAGAAGTCGCATTAAATTATTAAATTACTTCAATATCTTACGAGTTGGAGATGATAGTATTTTCCCAGAAAAAGACTGTAGTTTTGTTTTGGGATCTTAATGGTGAAGCCATGTTTCGTTTATTGTTATAACCTGAACCAAAAACTGATTAGAATCTTGCTGTACAACCTTTGGCGGATGTTCTTTTACAATAAAATATGACGCACTAATGTGTAACTGTAGAATATGGCGTAGCATTTACCCTAAATGTGTCCCGTGAATCGTGGATGATTTGATTGATGTAGTAAGTTTTAAGCAATGATAACAGCGCAGGAACAGCGTTTGGTTATAATTTTTTTCATTTTCCCAGCACGCAAACAATGTACAAAACGCCAATTTACAACTAACCACAAATAAAATTACTTCATGTTTTTTTAAATTGGAAGATATTAGCTTATTATTTCTTTATGTACTTATGTTACATATATTCCAGCTTGACCAGCCAGTATTTCCTCTTTTAAATTCCAAAATGTGTGTACCGCATTCTCATTTTTTTAACGCCCCTCGTATTTCGTAACAAAGCCAACCCTGAGACATCACAAAACATAAAAATAATAGCCAGTGCTTGCCTGTGTACACCAGCCATTTTGTTTAACCATTCACTCCCCGCCTGTTGAGTTTAAATAAAACCCCGCGAAAATCGAATGTGAAACCCAGTCGTGTCGCGCGAACGCAACGCGGAGCCGTCACTTGTAAACGCGCATATTCCTGATTTTTTCTTCTTTTTAAAATCGGCACTCGTAAGGTGTTCGCTAAGATGAAGTACCTGTTTGTTCTTGCCGTTTTCGCGTTGGCTTTCGCCGCCGAAGAAGAGAAGGATGGAGACCAGATAAAGACATTTAAACGGCTGATTCCCGCTGACGTGTTAAGAGGTCAGTGTCTTGTTGATGTAAAAATTTAATTATATAACTCACGCAATTAATGATCTACTAGCTCTTATAAATCAAGATGAGAAACTTTATGTCAGAAATGTAAAAATAAAATTAAGCGTGCCGATATAAGTTTAACTTTTATTGGATTATTATTCAAACTTACAAATTAATTATACTTTCAATATAAAAGTTGGAAAATTGAAAAGTACAAGGTCGCAATTAACTTTTAAGAGACAATCTTTTTAAATATAATATAAAATGTCAATGAATTTGTAAGTAAAGTAGGATTAATTTTGTTGAGCTTCTTAATTAATAAGATGATAATTCATAATTGATTAATATCAATAATGCGTGATAATTCGGTAAATATTAAAACTATATCCAACTAGTGATATTTATATAAATATCTAAAGAATCATAATAAGTTAAATACATTAATTAGTTTTTTTTTGTATTTCGCAATTTTTAGAACTTTAATATTTCACAACTATACATAAATGTATAAACTCTAGTAATAGAAAAAAGAAAGAAAGAAAGAAAAATATATTAACTTACATCTGATTTTGCACATTTTACAGTATTATCTGTATGTTCACTGCAATAACCGATCGCATGCAACCCAACACATTGCAATAATTAAAGGAAATGCAATTGCTGTGATCACCAATCAATATTGATCGATTAATTTTGTATTAATTTCTTTGAACTTATTTAGCTCGCAAATTAGAGTTTTATTAAAATATTTGCTAATAATTTTAACTAATGTGTATTTATTTTAATTTATTTGCAGTAACCTTTTACGAGCTAATACTTTAAGGTTATTTTTAATGCAGTCGAATGTAGAGACACTTTTATGTCCCTATCTAAAATGCATTTGAATACTAAAATTATAACACTGATGTATTATGTGGCTTAGCATATCTTTGAAATATTTTGTTACGTCGTCACGCAGGTTTCTTCGCAATGTTTTTCTTACTGCTGAGCAAATACTAAATCATTACTTCAAACGGCAATTAACAATTTCATTAGTGTCGACGGTGATCGAACCCAGAGTTTGCGACTCTTTAAAAATACACGGCGAGCGCTTAATCTCTGGACTACCGCGGCTCTCTAAAGTAGTTGTTTTTTATTGTTTTATCTAGCGACAATATTGTTTCGATTACTTGGTTAGTAGTAGTAAACGATGATAATGGATATTAAATGTTTCCATAGTGTTACATCAAGTCTTCATAAGTAAACTGTTATAATAACAGGTTACACAGGCTGTTTTCATATTTATACGTAATTTATATAATAGGCTGTAAGTTACTTAACAGATCCACTTATCTAATGTTATATTAGCAAAAACTATCAGATTAGTGCAAATTATTGTATCTAGAACATTTGTAACTGGGCGAACCAGTTCCATCCTTGACGAAGCATGACGAGTGCTTACATATTTATATAATAAACAAATATTCTGTAATGGTTCTGTCATAATCAACAGTATTTTTTTTTAAATAAAGTGACAAACGAAACTCAAAGTAAGTGGCTACTGTCTATGGACATCTGCATACTTCAAACAAAGAAGGCTTTAGATGACGTCACTAAAATTGAATGACTCACGGCTTGTACTATGTTAAACTAACTCTATATAACAATCAGACTGGAAACCAGTAGTGAAAACTCTGCTGTTTGGGAGCAGGAATAGGAAAGAAGTGGTACTCTAACCAGGCGGATTCCTAGAAAGAAATGGAGACCGTCTACGTAGTGAATTCTTGAAACTACGTGGTAGAGCCATGCTGCAGCTATATTATGGTTGTAGCACGAATGGGTCGGCTCGAACGGGGAAGGACCACGCTCTCACAGAAAACCAGCGTAAAATAGCAGCTTAACGCTGCTGTGTTTCGTATGGTGAGTGTAGAGAACCAAAAACCCTTTTTACTGGCAAAGAGGCATTCCATCTTAGTCCTCACGGGTGACAACGCATCTGCATCTTGAGTCTTTATTGAGGATAGATGTAGATGTCTATGGGTAACCACTTACCATCAGCTGGACTGTGTGCTCGTTTGTCACCCGATCCTATAAAAAAAAAGAAAAAACTTTTAAAATTTGGAAATTCAATTTTAATTTTATTTATTTTTATTTTACAGATGAACAAAATTTTTCATAACAAATAATATAAGAAATTATCTATGTTTTATTTAAAAAAGGTAATCTGTTATTGATCAGCTCGTAACATTCCTCTCTTGGACATTGGATTCTCCCGTTATATGGATCTTCCTTATATATTACTATACTCTTTGATATGGATTGACGATCAGAATACGTATCGTACTTTTGACGTATTTTTGACGCTCTGAAATTTTAGTTTAGATTTGAAATTTAGAGGGCATGAAAAGGCCATTTTTGTGACTAAAATCCCGTGATTCAATAATGCCGTTAATATTTTGCCCGCTTTAATTTTTCCGATTTTCTTCTATATAAACCCATTTGGATCCACTGCTGGGTTCATACCCAGTAGCAGAGGATCATGCCTCTGCCACAATGGGGAGATTATTCCATAGTCGCCACTCTTGGCCGACAGATTGGCGATTGCACTATAACACGGAATTTTATTTGCGGGGCATTGCTTAATTAATTAAAACAAATGTGTATTTACATACAACACATACAAGCCGTGTGCTGGCGATATAAGAATATCCACTATTCCATATCGTCTGAAAAATAACAACTCAAAACATTAAAACTGTGACTGCCAACCCGTATGGACAGCGCGGCAACTAAGACAAAATTTGATAGATGATTGAGGCAATTTATACGGGACGTCTATGTTCAGCAGTGGTTTTTACAGGCTGTAATGGATTACACATATACATACACGTACAAAGAGTGTATAGATTTAAGTTTATTACCAAGATAAGGTAACCTTGACCTTGTAAATTAGGCAGTTAAAATGCTTCTAATTTACATACAATTATTGTTTTGTTATTGCTGCTTTAAGGTCCTGGGAAATATTTGTGATTAGACCTTCTGCATATAATGTATATCATATAGCGTATCAAAAAATTACTGGCATTGTATAAAAATTAAAATTATATTTTTGATTTCGAACAATTTGTTCTTTTTCTTATAATTAAAGTAATGATTAAATTTCAATAATGATAGTCAAGTAATAATATTATGTAATATTAAACATAATCATTATTAAATTCATATATATTCGCATATATTCATATGCATTCGTTTACAGACTCGTAACTGGTTCATGCTTGTTAATTTTAGTGCCATATGGCAGTGTTCGAATAAGGTTCAAATAAGCAGTGCGTAGTTGCTTGTTGCAATAATGTAGGAAATATTGCAACCACTACAACGTCCGGGTGTAATTCGCAATCGATCCGATAACATCGGCTAAAATGGACGTACTCATTCGGTTAGGTAATATTATAATGATGCGTTCGGAATCGATGTTGCATATAACATTTAAACTTTTATTAATACCTACAAAACGAACTTACGAAATATTTCACTAGCTAGTTTAATCTGTCTCTATGCTAGACCAAACAAAAAAAAAACGTTAAAATATATCCTGAATGGTATTTCAAGTTATTAAAAATACAGTCCTCATCTGAAACACTTTACATAAAAAGTTTATAACAAATAAATGTCTTTAGGTATTTCGTTTTGTTTAAAATTATGTTATTGTTGGAAAAACATAATTTCCTTAAAAATACAACCAATATCAAATAATGTCATTTCTTTTTATACAAAAAAGTATATCTAAAAGTTTCATTGCTATTGAATGTCGCGTTTAGTATGGATTTATTTTTTCCAAAAAAATGAAAAAAACAGATGAAGCATTCTTGCAAAAACCTTAATCTAGCCAAAGACATATAAGTAGTTAGTATATATATATATTTTAAATCTCATTGAATCTAGCAGTGCATTGCAAACAGGCTGATAAAATGAAATCTTCCATTAACCTTAAGAAAAATACCTCGCTTATTTATTTCTTTCCGTGATTTTGCGGAAAAATATTTCTTTAAAGTTCTTGCAATAAAATCCAATCAACGTAAAAAGAAATAATTTCACCTGTATTGCATAAATCAACAGGATATTAAAGTGAACGTATGCTTTTGCCCTAGGGAAATAACTGGACAGCCTTTTTCGTAAATATGTCCTTGTAAACCAGTTTCGCGTATCCAAAACGGACGAACACATCTTCAAAATCGCTGTTGTGACAGAGAATGTAAATCACAAGAATTTGACACTACTTTCACGATTTATAGCCCTTAATTACGCATATTAATCAAAAAGGCAAAGCGAACAAGAGTTTTAATTATTGCAACTGCGTTTAAACTTAAAATGAATGTATCGAGAAAAAAACAGATGGTTCAAAATATGATTACTTCAATGTTAAAGTATTCAGTGCACGAAATCTTTAGAAAGCTAAAAATGGGACTCGGAAGATGTTGCTTTAAAACAAAAGGGCTGTTATAAATTATAATTGCAGGTAACAGACACAAGAGCGGTTTGGGATTAATTCGTATAACTATCAGATTGGTTTCTTGGTGGCCTTAGAGGAGTAAAATGAAACTTTATATACAATGACATTAAAGTGACTCATGTAATACAGGTAATATAATCAAGTAACGGAGTGAACGGTTGGATTAACTTACCAAGCTGACCTTGGAATGTTCGAGAACAACCGAACGTGACCACGTGCCGGCCTAAAATGAAAGTAATTGATGAACGTGAAATTGCAATCTAAAACGCGATGCGTCTTGACTGCAACACGTATTACGCGGTGTTCTGTCGAGACGATGTTGCCTTTCGCGCGCGAACTAAATTTCAATTTCGAATCCAACCACCGTTACGTAATACAATGAATGCCTTTTACACACGACAATATTTCTAGTTGAACAAAAATGTTTACATCGTTTTTTAAGTGAGAGAACGAGCTTGCGGTTGAAGCATTTGAGGAAATGGTATTTAATGCTTACATTTACCAACCACTGACT